TTCTGTGCAGGTACCAAGAATATGTGTATCGACGAGATACACCTAAGCACTAGATCCCATGTCGATGTTTCAAAGTATCAGGAGCACCATGATGTTTTTCTTACTTTTTTTCTGTGCCCAAGTCCAGCACAGACACCAATTTATGCTGACCTCTGCCGGCAGCTCAAAGAGCAACAGCACAGCATCCACAGCTCCACCAATGTTGTCAACCAACACAGCATCCACAGCTCCACCAATGTTGGCTACCAATACAACATCCACAGCTCCACCAATGTTGGCTACCAAAACAACATCCACAGCTCTACCAATGTTGGCTACCAATACAACATCCACAGCTCCACCAACCTGGTCAACCAATACAACATCCACAGCTCCACCAATGTTGGCTGCCAAAACAACATCCACAGCTCTACCAATGTTGGCTACCAATACAACATCCACAGCTCCACCAACCTGGTCAACCAATACAACATCCACAGCTCCACCAATGTTGGCTACCAATACAACATCCACAGCTCCACCAATGTTGGCTACCAATACAACATCCACAGCTCCACCAACCTGGTCAACCAATACAACATCCACAGCTCCACCAATGTTGGCTACCAATACAACATCCACAGCTCCACCAACCTGGTCTACTCACCATGATTCCCCTGACCCCATGACGGTACCATCTTCGTGTCAAGGCCGATGCGGGATTCTTCAGGAGTTTCCATGCTCCTGTGACGTCACGTGTCATTTGCTCCACTTCTGCTGTGATGACGTACACACCGCGTGCCCGGAATTGCTCACCGCCAGCAGACGTCTCTATGGTAACGTCTTTGACCGTCAGGTTGTGTGCAGTTTAACAGAAGGACTTAACTTCGGCTATTTTTTAATCACCACCTGTCCAACGGAAAGCCACAACGCCACCGACATAGATGGCGTCACGCCTTTTTTTCATAGTCTCATTACAAAAACCGACTCTAATTTAAACCTTGACCACATTCTGAACAACGTTCCAGTCACCGACCTGACCACAGGATTGAATTTCATCAACCTCACCGTATTTCACTGCAACACTCAAGGCAACTCCACCCCTCTAAAATGGAACGTATGTTTCCAAAGTAAGGATTTCATACAGTCTTTAAAGAACGCGAGCGATTTGTCGGATAACATGGACAGATCCTACTCGCCTTATTATCTTCCACCTGAAGAGCTAAACAACAAGGTGATGTCCAGATGTGTCCCATTAGCTATTGCTAAATGTAGCCCTAGTCTTGCCACACATGATAACCAGCGCAAATGCAGTCAAAACATTTCTTTTGTAATCGACGTAGATAACACATTTTATAAAAACAGACACTGTGCTATTTGCAATGGTCTGAACGAAACTCATCTCTTCTATCCAACATTGGTCATTGATGATAGTGGGCGGCATAGAAACCTATTATCGGTCTTAGTTTCGTTCAGTGACTTTGGCATCAAATTACAGTCTTTTGATAAACCCTTGTTTGATAATAAGAAGTTAATGCCCTGGCTGACTGCTTCCTGTCATGCTCCGGAAGTAACCTTCGACCTGGTGACATTGGACAGTTTGAGCTGTGATGTGGACAAGTGCTCACCATTCTTTTACAAAAGCCCTGACGGCAACTGTGTGATGACCAACGTTCTGCAACTGGCTGTCACGGATGACGGATTCCCCCTGTCCCCTCAAGAACAGTTCCGGTTACCAGGGTTCGTCGCGTGCTATTTGAAGCGCCTCAAGTGGGACGTATCACATTCTGAAAACTCTACGGAAATTCTGTTTGATGTTCGCCTGAACATCACGCTTTATTCTACAAAAACAGCTGTCAATGAAAATCTACAGTTCCTAGAACCCTCAGAATTTTTCTTTCTTAAACAGCCCAATCTTATTTCTATAGCAAAATCATTTTCCTTGTATCGAAGACTACACTTTCTGAGATCTCGAGAGGTTACGCAAGAGAGAACGCTTGAAAACAGGTCGACGGACGCCAACATTTTTACTCAAAGTTTCTTCCCAGAGAAGTCGCCGTCGTGTGGAGACAGCAGACCTGTCGCCCTCTGCTACTGCACCTTCAGGCCAACTTTGCAGGAGACTTCTTGCAGTCTTAGCTGTCTTCATGTCTGCCTGAACATCAGCGACAATGAGCTGGGGCCCAACCTGTGTTGGGACGTTCTCAGTCAAGGTCATTTTAACTGGCCATCAGGAGCTGTCACTGCACTGACTGTTTTAATTAGCGTTAATTGGGTCTAAAATTATTGAACACTGACTAAAATCTGAAAAAAAACACTACAAAATCAAACATGTGCTGTCTTGCAAAAATATGGAGTCAGGTCAGTTGTGATTTATGCCCGACACGCTGATTGGCTGTCAGACCCGACCGTTAGATGACCGGGTCGCCATTTTGTGATTTATGTCTGTTGAACAATCTTGATGGTCGCGCCCTCCTTCGCGGTGGGGAGAGGTCGTAATGAGCTAGGACTCGGATAGTTGCAGGCAGTGTTTCTTCCAGACTTTTTTCTCCGTAGGGGTACTGGATATTTTCGGGAGGGAGGGGGTGGGTTAACATTTTCCGGACGGGGGGGGGGGCGCACACTGGTAAAAGTATATATTATCTATATAAATTCAATTTCGTTGGGGGGGGGGGGGGGGGGGGGTTAAGTTGTCCTAGTATAAATAAGGAAATCCAAAATGTAAAACAATTAACCAAACCACACTTTTCTCTACCAGACTAAACTTAATTATTGACAAAAAAATTTCGCAGAATGTTTCAAACTTTGAGGAGATTTTGTTTCAATATTTATATAACGGTCCCATGTCGGATTTGTCGACTGGCTTGGACTACATGAACTCGTCCGTGTTACTATGTAACTCTCTCAAAGATTCGAACCGCTTAAAGTGGGACGTGGAAATTATATCGAAGAACAGAGCTGAATCGTCGACCAGTCAAAAGTAAATATAATCACAGCTAAAGAAAACACCCCGTTCTACCTATTGCCCAGAAAAATTAAACCTACCTCAAGGCCACGCTGCGTTACTTTTAGTTCATCCACTTGTCATGACAGATTAAAACTCGAACTTTTAATCGTTTACAAATGCAAAAAATGTGTGTCGTAAGACCAAGAAGTTGCTTTCACGCAGGTTCGTCAAAACAAGTATTGGGCATTTTGCAATGGGATAAGCGAATCACCTCTGATTATACGGAAAAAAATTGGTGTCATAAAGCACCCTTATAAGCAGAGTTTCTTCCAGGCATCTTCAGGCTCCCCCCGCCGAAGAAAGTCTACCGCCCCCCCCAACAAAATGGATTTTATATAATTAACTTACACTTTTACTATTGTCCCCCCCCCCCCCGAAAAATGTTGACCGCCCCCCCCCCCCTGAAAATTTCAAGTGCCCCCTCGGAGAAAAAAGTGTGGAAGAAACACTGCTAATCAGTTCTCAGTTTTGTTTTCGTTCGAAGAAAGCGGGTTGGTGTTGACATCGAGCAGAGGAGGCCGAGATCGTGTCTTTGCTGTGGATCAGTACAAGGTGCGTGAACTCAGATGTGACCTCTAACTTTGCTTCTATTAAAAACTTAACATGCGAGGCTACAGACTGCAGCCAGCGATACTACAATCAACCCGATGGCAGTTGCAGTTGAAAACTTAACATGCGAGGCTACAGACTGCAGCCAGCGATACTACAATCAACCGATGGCAGTTGCAGTTGAAAACTTAACATGCGAGGCTACAGACTGCAGCCAGCGATACTACAATCAACCCGATGGCACTTGCAGGAGGGAATATCGGCTGGTATTGGCTGCAACTGACGTAGCACCCCCCCCCCCCCTGAAACTGACAGAACAAGTTGATCTGTCCAAGATGTTTCAAAATGTCTGGAAGCAGATTAAGGAACCTTACATTGAAACAAGATGTTTCGGATGTAGGTTCTGAGAAAAAAATTAATTATTACCCTCTATAAAACTGTACTCCTGGTTTATCTCAGTGATTAATGGTACCTGCAGGAAGGATTATTCAAGAGAGAGTTAAAAAGTTTACAGTCAGTGGTTAAATGATGTTTTATGTTGGGCAGAAGAAAACAAAACGTTTTCTTTCGAATGTAAACCCACCAGCCATTTTAAAAGTTGACCTGCGCCATCTAACGACAGATCATCGAAGTCCAGCAATCGTCACATCACCAATACCATCACCTTCTGTTATACTGTGAGAAAAATTACCCCAGATATACCTTTAAATAAAGCCTTCCTTATGTATTATCATGTAGTAAACTGTTTATGCAGCCGAGTGAAGACGTGACAACTAATCAACCATCAAACTTGACCCCAAACGTTACGACGAAAGTGTAAATAGGATTCGAAGAAATATGCTTCAAGCCTTTTAACTCCGTAAAAGGGAAGTTCACATTAACATACCGTGGGGGATTATTTTTTCTATTCAATATGTTTCATGTGGTGGTAACGCACGATATATTAAGTAACTATGCTAGTAATGTTGTAATATTTCGACACATAACTGAGCAACGGAAAACTGCCCAAACTGAAAAGGGCACAAATACAAACTTATTATACTAATACATTTTAATTTAATTTTGTCATACTTCGAGGAAGTATGTTTTAGCACGATACAATGTTGATCTATTCCTTTTTTGCTAAAGTCTTCAAATCATCGATTTAATAAACACGAATGCCCTTGCGCACTTTTTGTGCACAGTTTTCTGTTGCACTATTTTTCTCTCCGGTCACCATCAGAAACAATGGAAACAAACAGACAAAATGACATAAATCAAATAGCGGCTATAGCATATATCAGTGTCTCGTGGATATCAAATACAGACAAGTACATTTTTCTATCTGTGGTACTTGCACAAGTCCAACTTATTATTCATTGAAAAATCCCCACAACAATCAGTAGTTTAGTATGTTCTTATCTGGTGACATATTCTCTTTCTATCAATTCTTATTTCTTTAAAAATTTAATTAAAGGAAAAAAGGTAAAACGTTTGTCAATGATCGAGATTTATTTCTTTGGAAGTCTCTTTTACGTATTGTATGCTGCAAGAAAAAGAAAAGTCAATTACAATTACTAACAGCATAGTTTACTTAACAAGCTAATTTTGTTATATTTAAAGATATTCATAATAAAAATCCTAATCTAAACATATGAACAGGTCCATATCATTTCATTGCCTACAATTTTAACTTTCAAAACGCTCAATCTATTGTTTATTTTTAAAATGAGACTTGTTTTGAATCATAAACACTCAATTCTATTTTTATTCGGGTATTTTTCTCTTCCTGGTCCGTTTCATAGTCCCGATATTGAAAATGTTGTTGAGTAAATTATTATATACTATATTTTAACATTTATTTTATATCGTTTTATAAAGTTTAATCAAATTTAGCGGGAGTGATCTCACCTAAACATTCACGAATGTTCATACATAACACTACGCGGGGATAGCAAGTAGGGATATAGAAATAAGATTTAATAATTTTTTTTATGTTTGTGTTTATGTTTATGTTTATGTTTATGTTTGTGTTTGTGTTTGTGTTTGTGTCTGTGTCTGTGTCTGTGTTTGTGTTTGTGTTTGTGTTTGTGTTTATGGTCATGGTCATGGTCATGGTCATTGTCATGGTCATGGTCATGTTCATGTTCATGTTCATGTTCATGTTCACGTTCACGTTCACGTTTACGTTTACGTTTACGTTTACGTTTACGTTTAAGTTTACGTTTGTGTTTGTGTTTGTGTTTGTTTTTGTGTTTTCTATTGTTTTTGTGATTGGGTTTAGGTTTGAGTTTGCGTTACGTTTTCGTTTGTTCGAGCGTTTGCGTTTGTGTTGTTTCTTTGCGTTTGCAATTATGCTTGCTTTTGTTTTTGTGTTTGCAATTTTGTTTGTGTTTAGTTTTGATTTTGCGTTACCTTTGCGTTTGTTTTTTATTTTGTGTTTGGCCTTGGTTGGATGTGGTTAGAGTTAAGTTTATAATTACAGTTAGGTTTGGGGTTATGTGTTATTTGCGAAACGTCCATATTTGCATACAGTTTTACTAGTGTCCGCCCCCCGGAAAATGTTGATCCCCCCCCCCCCCCCAAAAAAAAATCAAGTGCCGCCCCCCGGAAAAAAAGTCTGGAAGAAACACTGTTTGCATATAACCATTTAATTGAAAAGGAGACTATTTCCTAAACCCAGAAAATGCCGGTTATAAGCTGTTTAATAAACAATGTCATGGTCCTTTACAGATAGGTTATTTGAAGAGCCCAGGGTAGGCCTGGCCAGGACGGCAAGTACTTTATAAATTCGTGTTCGTTTTCTTTTTTGAGAAATCGGAAATAGCGTAAAGTTCTACTTCCGTTCTACGAAAATTACTAAAAGACAGACAGAAACACACACACATACACACACACAGACATCCGGACAATATTGTAAACCGTCGACATTTGTGAAAGTCTTGGTTCCAAATTTTTTAAAGATTACAATAGTTCCTCTATAATTCGTATACGAGAAAGTAAAAAGGGATGACTTGTTGATTGTTAAGATAAGTTTAATGAATTCTGGGATTTGTTGAAAAGGGTTGCGATGGTATGGTGATTATGGGAGTAGAAGTAACGCATACCGTGATAAGACTGACAGGGTAGGCGTGGGTTGATGAACGTGGAATTGAATGGATTTCATCATCAACAGATACAGTTTTGATGCACTGAATGTTGCGAATTTTGTTTTTTAAAAAACTAAGAAAACAAAAAATGTATAAATGTGGCCACATGCTCGCGAGCAAATGTTTTTTTTGTGTGTAGTGTGTGTAGGGGTTTGAGATATTCCGAGACGGTTGCTATAAGCTCAGGGGGGGGGAGAGGGGGTGGAGGTGTTGGTAATGGGTGTGTGTTTGCAGATAATTCGATGTCGTTTGAGGGTTATTAGCATATTTATAATTAAGCAATACACATTTCTTTATAAACTTATAAACATAAAAAACATAACAAATATCATGATAACATACTTTACCTAATGGGTTGTCACAGCTAAAAAACATAAATTATTATTCAATTACAAATTTTATCATAACTCATAACTCTAAAAACAAAAATTATCATTAATTAAAATAAATTGGAAATTAAACTATATAGATAATTTGCGGAGATAGTTTTTTGTTCTGCCGTCAAGCAATTATAATTCTGACACCTAAAGTATTCTGAATAATCTTAGTTTCCACATGTCAGACTTGTTTGTGGGTTTTCTTCTTCTTCTTCTTCGTTCTTAATTATTAGTGTTGAAGGGGATCGAGATTTATCTGCCAGTGGGTTTGAACTCGAGACTTTGTTCGAATTTATCAACCATGAGCTTTTTGCCGACTCGACTACGCCTCCAACACAATTAAGCGTTACGTGTCAACTGGTTATGCGCCATTGAGGCCATTGACTCCGATTTCAGCCTGCTTTTCTTTTTGGATTTGCTTCCATAGCCTTTGTCCAACCAAGAACAAACTACAAGGCAGCAGTTGTTTAATTTTGGAGTTGTCTCTCCTAGAAGAGTGGCTGTCCCCAGCTAACGAGCCGCATCTGCCCGAGGGTTCGAACTCGAGACTTTTCGGTTTAGCAACCATGAGCTTTACCGACTCGACCACGCCGACCCCTATGTCAGACTTGTTTGTGGGTTGAATAAAAACATTTTTTAATGATCATGTCATTTCTCTCCTAAAGCTAATTCAAAATAATAAAGCCATCACATATCTAACCGCCGCAAAAGTTATTAACGCTATGCACGCTAAGGCTATATTCTTTTGTCAACACAATTTTGTTCTTATCTTACTTTGATACTTAAGTTGAAATTCTGACTCTCATCCATATCATATAAAGTGATCATATCTCTATTATGCCAGTCGGAAAGGAAAATTGTACTTAGACTAGGGGAGAGATCCCGGTACATTGCTTAAAGTCACATGACCCTATCGATTATGTGACAAATTAATCGACTTAGCTCGACGCTCAGTGTGGTTAGCTCTAATTTTATTAGTCTTTGTTAAATCCATTATTTATTTAACAAAATGTTTTTGATAAATGTAACTTAGCACATGCACTAGGTCTTTCATGACCTTTGGACAACTCTGGTTCAATGTAAAGCTATAGTCTCGGGTCCTGTTTTACTCACTGCACTAGATGTACCTTTTTATTCACATTTGTAGTGTTTTGGTGTGAATGGTGGATTGTTATGAGAGATTAAGGTTGAGCCTTGTTTGTGATAACTTTTAGTGTGAATATATTATTGTGCTTAACAAAGAAAATACTCTTAAATTTAATTAATAATATCAAAATCCAATTACTTGTCCCTCCAGCAGCTATATGGAGGGCAGCAATCAGTAAGTATGTCACATTCGCCGCCTTTTAGTTTACAACAACTGTTTAAACATAGAGAAGAAAACATGAAGCAGATGTTTCAGCTATATGATAAAAAAGTAAAAGTAAGTTAATGTAAATGGTCATCGTTCGGAGCACAATTAGTAACAATATTGAATAGGTCACATCAATTTGAATAATTGCTAAATTTAAAGAGATACAATTTTCAAATCTATTTAAAATTTGAAATGTTTAAGAGTCAACTGCATCTTTGAAGGCAGACCGACACAATCTAACCGCGAAGTGGGTCACAAGACTGCAAATATAAAACATAAGGCCCATGCAGCATGAAAACAGATGGGCAGTGCTGGAAAATATTATTATCTCTTCGTTTTGCTTGAAATAGAGAGGATGAGTATCTAACTCACGCTCGGCAATGTAAAGTAGGCGTGGCAATGTGCTGGCTACACTATCCATTCATATGCCGTGGTTACACAAACTAGTCAACTCTACTTTGCCGTGGTTACACAAACTAGTCAACTCTACTTTGCCGTGGTTACACAAACTAGTCAACTCTACTTTGCCGTGGTTACACAAACTAGTCAACTCTACTTTGCCGTGGTTACACAAACTAGTCAACTCTACTTTAATTGCTCAAGGGATCGTGAGGTTTAAAAATGGAACTTTAATTTTGTTATGAGATAAGTAAAGTTTATGTGAACTCACCTTTCAGATTCAACGATGAGATTTAACAGACACACCAGGACCACGAGAAGGAGAACTGCGAACTTCATTTTAATCAGCTGAGGAAATTTTTTTTCTCAAGTAATTTCAAATACAATCATATCCTTAATTCATACATTTAATATTAATGTAATAAAACAAATTAGTAATAATGAACCAATTAGTTTTATTACTTTGATTTGATATGATCCATATAAAATTGTAAATACATTTTACATTAGCCAATGAACGATATTTTTAAATATTCTAAAATATACAATTACTTTAAGTTTATTCATAAAAAACAAACATACAGATATCACAAAGTAAATACTTACATTGTTATGAAATAATAATAATTGATTATTAAGTCAATACACGATGCCAACGACTGGGAGAATACAAGTGTTCTGTTCAAGACACGTTAAATTTAATCTTTAAATTTAGGTTTTATAACGTGGCTCATTTCTATTGGTTAGTATTAATTAACAAGAGTAGTGATAAATCCATCTTATAGAAACACTTGGTAAACCTTTTGGGATCAACAGGTTGAAAGCAGATTTTGAAAATTAGTTTCGCATACCATAATGGGAACTAACAAGTAGATTACATTTTAATAAAAACACTACACATCCACATATCCAAACATCAATACTACCACACACCCACAAATCCCACATGTTATTCTTCAATGTACACATTGATTAAACTTATAATGTACATAATCAAATTATTATTGTGGAATGAATGTTAACTTTTATATACGTTTATGATGAAACAGATAATGTTCTTTCTTGTTTACTGCTATAACAAATAATGTTTATGATAAAAACTAAAATTGTATTTTAGGAAATGTTGAGTTGAGGCATTTAAAATAAGTCTTGCCTTATAAGAAACAGAATTTTTCTAAATTTGGACAACCTTGCCTTAAAAACAGCA